TCATCAAGAAAAAAAGAGAGAAGACCCAAATAAACACAATCAGAAATGAAAGAGGAGAGACTACAACAGATACCACAGAAATACAAAGGATTGTAAGAAATTACTACAAAGAACTGTATGCCAAGAAATTTGAAAACCTAGATGAAATGGACAACTTTCTGGAAAAATATAACCTTCCAAAACTCAATGAAAAAGAAGCAGAAAGTCTGAACAGACCAATAACAACAAAAGAAATTGAAGCAGTAATCAAAAAACTCCCAACACACAAAAGCCCGGGACCAGATGGTTTCAAAGGAGAGTTCTACAAAGCATTTAAGGAAGAGCTAACCCCTATCCTTCACAGACTATTCCAAAAAATCCAAAAAGATGGGAGTCTCCCAAACTCTTTTTATGAGGCCATCATCATCCTAATTCCAAAACCAGATAAAGACACAACAAAGAAAGAAAACTTCAGGCCAATATCACTGATGAACATTGATGCTAAAATCCTCAACAAAATACTGGCAAACCGCATCCAACAATACATTAAAAAGATCATACACCATGACCAAGTGGGATTCATTCCAGGGATGCAAGGATGGTTCAATATTCGTAAGTCAGTAAATGTAATACATCATATAAACAAAAGCAAAGACAAAAACCACATGATCATATCAATTGATGCAGAAAAAGCATTTGACAAGGTACAGCACCCATTCATGATAAAAACACTCAGCAAAGTGGGAATAGAGGGAGCATTCCTCAACATAATAAAGGCCATATATGAGAGACCTTCAGCCAACATCATTCTCAATGGACAAAAATTAAAATCTTTTGCACTAAGATCAGGAACAAGACAAGGCTGTCCACTTTCACCACTTCTATTCAATATAGTACTGGAAGTTTTAGCCACAGCAATCAGACAAGAAAAAGAAATAAAAGGCATTCAAATCGGAAAGGAGGAAACAAAACTGTCACTGTTTGCAGATGACATGATAGTATACATAGAAAATCCTATAGACTCTATCAAAAAACTGCTTGACCTAATAAATGAATTTGGCAAAACAGCGGGATACAAAGTCAATAACCAGAAATCAAAGGCATTTCTATACACCAACAATGAAACAGCAGAAGCAGAGATCAAGGAAAGAATCCCATTTGAAATAGCAAAAAGAAAAATAAAATATCTAGGAATAAACCTAACCAAAGAGGTAAAAGACCTGTATTCAGAAAACTACACAACACTGAAGAAAGAAATCAAGGAAGACACAAACAAAATGGAAACATATACGGTGTTCATGGATTGGAAGAATGAATATCATCAAAATGTCCATACTACCCAAAGCAATTTACACATTCAATGCAATTCCTATTAAAGTACCAATGGCATATTTCACAGACATAGAACAAACACTTCAAAAATTTATATGGAATTATAAACGACCCCGAATAGCTGCTGCAATTTTGAGAAAGAAGAGTAAAGTAGGAGGGATCACAATACCCGACACTAAACTATATTACAAGGCTACTGTAATCAAAATAGCCTGCTACTGGCATAAAAACAGGCACATAGACCAATGGAACAGAACAGAGAGCCCAGAAATAAGCCCAAGTCTCTATGGTCAATTAATATTTGACAAAGGAGGCAGCAACACAAAATGGAGTAAAAATAGCCTCTTCAACAAATGGTGTTGGGAGAACTGGACAGCCACGTGCAAAAAAAATGAAACTTGAGCACCAACTTACACCACATACAAAAATAAATTCAAGGTGGATAAAAGACTTAAATATAAAACATGACACCATTAAAGTCCTAGAGAAGAACGTAGGTAGGAAGATCTCAAATATTTCACGCAGAAACTTTTCTCCTGATATGTCCCCTAGAGCAAGGGACATAAAGGAAAGAATAAACAAATGGGACCTCATCAAAATTAAAAGCTTCTGCACAGCTAAAGAAAACAGTATCAAAATTAAAAGAGAATCAACTGTATGGGAAAACATATTTGCCAATGACACCTCAGACAAGGGTTTAATCTCCAAAATATATAGAGAACTTACACGACTGCACTCTAAGAAGACAAGGAATCCAATTAAAAAGTGGGCAAAGGACTTGAACAGACACTTCTCCAAGGAGGACACACAGAAAATCCAAAGACATATGAAACAATGTTCAATATCGCTAGCTATCAGAGAGATGCAAATTAAAACCACAATGAGATACCACTTCACACCAGACAGAATGGCCATCATAAACAAAGCAACAAACAACAAATGTTGGAGAGGTTGTGGAGAAAAGGGGACCCTAGTGCACTGCTGGTGGGACTGCAGACTGGTACAACCACTATGGAAAGCAGTGTGGAACTTCCTCAGAAAACTAAAAATGGATCTGCCTTTTGACCCTGCAATTCCACTGCTGGGACTCTATCCTAAGAATACTAAAACACCAATTCAAAAGAACCTATGCATCCCAATGTTCATAGCAGCACAGTTTACAATAGCTAGATGCTGGAAGCAACCAAGATGCCCATCAGTAAATGAATGGATCCAAAAACTATGGTACATTTACACAATGGAATTCTATGCAGCAGAAAGAAAGAAGGAGCTCCTACCCTTTGCAACAGCATGGATGGAGCTGGAAAACATTATGCTAAGCGAAACAAGCCAGGCAGTGAAAGACAAATACCATATGATCTCACCTTTAACAAGAACCTAAATAACAAAACAAAGAAACAAGCAAAATATAACCAAAGACACTGAAATAGAGGACAGGCTGACAGTGACCGGAGGGGAGAGAAGAGGGAATTTAAGGGGACAGTGGGAAGGGTTCACAGGAACAAACTTAAAGGACACATAGTCATAGACTAAGGGGAGTGTGGTAATAGGAGGGAAGTGCGGAGGGTGGGAGGGGGGAGTGGATTGGGAGTAAAAAGGAGAAAACTGTATTGAACAATGATTAAAAAATAATAATAATAAAAAAAGAAAAAAGAACAAAGACTCATAAAAACTAATAAAATATGAACCTCTATGTTCATTGCAGTGTTACTTACAATATCTAAGCTATGAAAGCCATGTAACATGGTGCAGACAGGAGGGGGGCCCCAAACAGGGCTTTGTAATGGGGTCCAGAAGAGCTTGGAGATGATTGGCTGCACAGCTCAGGGCCACACCTTCCCAGAATGCTGGCAGTTGTGGCCAATTGTGGGAGGAGCCGAAAATGAACCTGCAGCAGAAGATTGGTGCTGGGATTTAAGCCCAGGCATGGCAGTCATTAGGGGTCTTTCTGGGTACCACATGGCTTTGGTGGAGAGTTGGAACCATGTGTCTTGGGCATCTTGTTGGGACCACATGGCTTGGGTGAGATTCAGGACCACACATCTTTGGAAGTGCTCCCTTTTGCTTTGTGGATGGTGCTGGGAGCCTGAATCACAGACTTCTACTTGTTTCCTGAGATATGGTACCCCAGACTCGGCAGAGGGAGAAGGAGGGACTGTGTGTTTGTGGGTGTTCTAAAGAACTGTAGTCTGTATAACTTTTAAATAAACAATAATTCCTTTCTTTTAAAAAAAATAGTTGGCATAGAAAATAATCGTAACTGCTGTGTGTGAAGGGACGTGAAGTCTTAGTCATCTATGAAACGCAGTAGTCTGTGTTGATGTGGCAGGTAATAGTTTTCAGTCTAACAATGATAGCTACACCGAATAAATGCCCTGTCAGGTGCTGTTCTAAGTGCTTCAAATGTATTGTGTTGTGTCATTTACTGTGTGATTTTACATAAGTAAGTCACCTGTCCTTTCTTGGGGCTCTGTTGTTTTCATATACAAAAAATCAAAAGCCATACTAGATAATCTGTGAGCTTCTTCTTAGTACTGAAAGTTGGTGTTTTTAGATACATTGATGAGGAAAATAAAATTTCTGTCCTCAGGGAACATATAGTCAAATAAAAGAGGTGAGACATATCCATTTAATTAAAAGGCATGGTGACAATAATTAGGGCCTTAAGAGAGCCACAAAATCCTGTGAGAATCTAAAACATGTTTACTTGCACATAGTAAATGCATAGCAAATGTGTAAATTGGATTGAATTGAATAATGATAGCTGCTGAATCAAGAGAAGTGTTTTGTTTTTTTTTCTTTGTTAGGGAAGGACAGTTGGTGTGAGCCTTGGCAGGGGTGGGAGTGAAGGAGGAGAAGGTGGGACGGACTCGTGAGGCACAGTTATCCAGGTGGTGGGAGGACACAGGGCACGAAAGACATGTGTGTGTCCAGAAGATGATGAAGTGTACTTTGACCCTGTTATTAGGGGATGTTGGATAGAAGTTCTATGAGGGTAGGTTACATTCAAATCTTAAAGAGCCCTTTAAGATCCTGTTAAGGGCATGTTTTATCACTGACAAGGAAATGTGGCGGAGGATGGAGAGACTGTGCAATGCAGTTTTATAGAATCTCCACATTTTACATGTGTGCTATCATCCACAAGGATGCTTAAGTGAAATTTTATGTTTAAAAAAATATTGGGCTAGAAACTTACAATTCACTTGCTTTGAAACTTTGTTGTATTAGTTTTGACGAGGAGGTGTATAGGCTGCCATTTAGGGTAATATAGGTCAAGTTTGTGCTCTTTATTGGTATTTTTTGTCTTCTAGTATAGTGCTTTATTTCTGCTGATTCTTAATCCTTCATGATTAAATAATGGTAAATAAGTTTATGTCAGTATTCAGCACAGAGTGGGCGCCTAAGGCCGACTGTTTAAAACTATTAGAGTCTGTCCCAAGAGCCAGTACACAGAGCTTCAAATGTGGCACAAACAACCACATGGAAAAATCAGATTTCTCAGGGATGGAAGTTACAAAGGCATTTTCTTTAACTCTGTAAATGCTAGAATCTCTCTATGTCTTTTTATTCCTGTGTATTTTTTATTGGCTTAGCAGACTTGTCTTTTTATGTTATGTTTTGTGTCATTTTAGCATGATAGATCAGGGAATTCATAAAGCAGGAACATCCATCTACCTAATTTCTTTCAGGTGACCTGTCCAGGAGTGGTGCTGAAAGACAAGGAGGACATCTATCTTAGCATCTGTGTGTTTGGCCAATACAAAAAGACACAATGTGTCCCAGCCACTTTTCCATTGGTCTTCAATGCCAGAATGGTGTTTGAAAAGGTGAGTTCAAATCTCACATTGAAATTAACAAACAAAATTAAAATAGTTACAAATTTGGAATAAAATTCTAGAACACAGTTATTATTGCTGACTATGTACTTTGATTTAATTCAAAGGAAGATTTGTCACATAAATTTGGAGGCTTAAAAGTACATATGCATTATGTTATACATTGAATCCATTTCTTTTTCATGATGGGTCAATTTATTTCTAAAATTTTGATAGTGGACTTTATGTAAAATATCATACCTTGAATTCTAAATAATATTGTCATAAAAATGAGACAGGAAATACTAATAGATAAGGACAGATCATATTTTACTATGGCTGTCTTGTGATGCTTCTTTTTATAAGTCTCTTTCTCTAAAACCTCTGCTTTTGGTTATTACCAGTTGTATTTCTTACTTTTGAAATTTCCTTCTTTCTCTATTTCCCTCTCTCTTTCCTTCCTTCCCTCCCTCCCTTCTTCCTTTTCTCCCCAAATAATTACCTAATAACCTGCTGTGTTCCATGCACTTTTTAAAGCACTGGATAGATAAACATCTTTCTCCTCTTGGAGCTTTCGTTTTAATGGGAGAAATAGGAGGCAATGATTAAGTAAACACAGAAATAATATGATTTGAGATAGTGGTAAGTGTCATGAAGGGAATAAAGGGAGGTAAGGGACAGAGAGGGACTGAGGGGTAGGGGCTTTGTCTACTTTAAAGGGGGATCAGAGAAGGCAATTACATTTAAACTGAGCCTGAATTATGGGGCAGAATCAGTTTTTTAAAGGACTAGGGGAAAAGCATTCTCAGCAGGGGAATAGCAAATAAAAAGGCTTCTTGTTAGACACAAGCTGGAAGAGTTGGAAGAGCACCAAGAAGGCCAATATGACTGTGGTAACGAAACAAAGGAAGAATGCTGGCAGATGAGGTTACAGAGGGAGGCAGAGCCAGCTGCAGTGTTTGTAAAATCTTCCACAGTGATCATGGGAAGCAGAGAGGAAGCGATAGTTCTCAGTAAGGTCAAAGGTTTCTTTGTTTGGGAAAGGAATATTTTGGGAACTAGAGGGAAAAAACAAAGACTGTGTTACATGTATGTTCCTTTCACTTCCTCTTCTCCCTCCTTCTTCCCTCTCCACACTCTCCTGTAGGTGTTCCCAGAAGCCGTGGACCCTGGAGATGTGGTTGCACAGCTGGAATGTAAGTGTTTAACTTTGCAATCCAGATTCTAAGACATTTTAGAATTGTGCTCTTTAATCTTGAATTAATAAAAGTTAAAAAGGGTTTAATAAAAAATTTTAAAATCTTGCATTTTTTTTAGAATTTCAGAATATACCTGGAAATGATAAAAAAAAATGCATGTGCTGCAGAGAGGCTGGGAATTTTTTCTTTTTCTGTGGTTAGTCTGTGGAAAACAAAAAGACATATTGGAACTTTTTACTGATTAAGATAATATAGATTGTTTACAATGTAAGAACAGAGATTCATATTAGGTAGCTCTCTGCCCTGCAGGCAAAAATATGTCTTTATTTTCAGTCTATTGCAAATCAAGAGAGTAAATAATAGAAGATTGATATAATGGTAGTCTAAAGTATATGTTTTGCATTTTTTATAATGTTACATGTTCACGGCTGAGGATAACAGTAAATTCTTCGAAGTACTAGGAGTCAACCATAAAAAGGTACAGCTGTTTGTGAGAGCAGCATTGCAAAGGTATACACTTGGGAAGAGTTATTTGAGCTCTGGATGTAAAGTGAAAAGCTCCATTTTTATCCTTTAGCTAGAAGGGATCATGGATCACCAGGTCGGTCTAATATGTGGTGTGGATCAAAAGGCCAGCACTCTTGGGCATCATCAGTGCCAGTCGTCTCCTCCACACGCCCCCATCCACTCCCTGCTGCGACTCCAGCAATGCAGAGTCATGGAACCTGGTGCTGTGCTAGGGTCTGGGCATATGGCAGGGACCGGGCTGGCTCATTGTCTGTCATTCAGGGATTTTCTAGTGTAGTGACTCTTCTCCAGGGAATTCTTTATGGCATGTGACAGTATCTTATTTTTTTTATAGCTGTCTGTCACTTGGTATTCTGTCTTTCATTGTAGCAGACCAACTAGGTGGCAGTTTGGTGCCAGTGGGTGTATGACTTTTAATATTTCCCATACATTTCACTCAGTATCTGGGAAATTGTGTATCTTAGAAGGTATGAGTATAATTATATCATCATTCTGAAGTTCTTCTGTTATGGAAATACATATCTATCAATAATTGAATCTCAAAAACAGGCAAGCAGAACAGAAAGACTCGTAGATACAGAGGACATTTTGATGATTGACAGATGGGAGGGGGTTTGGGAGGATGGGCGAAAGAGATGAAAGGATTAACAAGTACTAATAGGTAGTTACAGAGTAGTCGTGGGGATGTAAAGTGCAGCATAGGGAATATAGTGAGTAATACTGTAACAACTGTACATGGTGTCGGATGGGTGCTAGATTTATCGGGATGATCAGTTAGTAGGTTTATAATGTCTAAGCCCTGGGTTGTACTCCTGGAACTAATACAATATTGTATGCCAACTGTAATTGAAAAATAAAAAAAATTATTTAGAGCAAAACAATGAAAAAAAAACAACTTTTTTCTATTTGATTTGAAATTTGGGGGCTATGAAAGAGTACTTAGTCATTATCATTATTTAGAAATGTTAATGCCTAGATTTCCCTGATTCAGTTTTTCTCTTAGATCTCTTCTACCCATCGTTGATATTTCACTTTTTTGCTCTTTCTGAACTTCACCTTCCTCTGCCCTGGCTTTAAATATTAGTGTTCCACTGTCCTCATTTCTTTGATCTATTTTTCCTTAGTTTCTCCTTTTTCCTTATGTACTCTCCAAAGACTTGGTTTTATATATATTACCTATTTTCCCATGACTTCCACGTCAGTCTTTATCCCTGACCTCTTCTGTGAGCTTTGGGCCCCTTTTTCTTTTACTTTTTTTACTTTCAGTTTTGCAGTCTTTCATTGTCCCTTACCCTCATTAGTATGAGAAATTAAAGACACAAGGAGGAGAGAATGTTGAAGTCCCTTATACCTATTACAAAACTTCAACAATGTTTGACGTATTGCCAATCTTATTACATGTTCACCCTGATGCTTAAAAATATTGTTGGGATAGTTAATTCTATACATATATCCTTCCACCAGAAATACTCTGGCATGACCTCTAACTGATAAAAACATCTCTCTCTCTCTCTCTCTCTATATATATATCTATATGTATATAGATACACATAGATATGTATAATATATAAGATATATTAATATATATATTATATATAATATATATATATATCTCCCCACCATGCTGGCATCATACCTAACAAAATTAATATAATTTCTCAATAGCATCAAATATGTAGTCATTATGCAGAGTTCACCAGTAGTCACCAAAATGTCTTTTAAGGTTGGTCTGCTAAAATCAGGACCTAGTGAAGGTGTGGTTCACACATTCAATATATGACTGTGAGCTCTTAAGCTTCTTTTTTTTTCTGTAATAGTGTTCTTTACTTTTTTCTTTCTTAATGCTGTGAATTTGTTTGAAAAGCCAGGCCCTTTAGAATGTCCCACAATTTGGATTTGTCTAATTGCTTTCTTAAATTGCTAGTTAGCTTGTTTATTACTTGCATTATAAAATTGAAATTAACCCTAGAGCACTGATTAAATTCAGAATTATTTTGTTTTTTGGTAAGAATCCTTCCTAGTTGGTGATGTGTCATTATTGCATCGTGTCCAGTGGCATTTCATGTCTGACCGCCTTAAGTTCAGTGACGCTAAGTTGGCCATTCGGCTCCAGGCAGCATCGGCTCCCTCCTCCATTATGAGGCCCCTCACCAGCCTTTCCTCTAACAGCTGTAGCATTCGTGGAGATCCACCTTTTCATTAGGAGTTACCAAATGTGATATTTTAAAATGATATCGTCATTCTCTCTGTATTTATGAGCTTCAATTCTAGAAATGTGTTTTTATTAGTAGTTTGGTTACTGTGAAATAACAGTTCTTATAGAAAAGGTAGAGTCATTCTTCTCTCCTTTCCTTTAATAGATTTAGTGAGTGATAGTTCATGTCTCACAAAATTCACCCATTGTAACTACAGTTAAGTGATTTCTAGAAAATTTGAACAGGTGCGAACCATCCTCACAATCCAGTTTGGAAAACTTCCATCACTCCCAGAGCTGCCTGATACTTACCTGTAGTCGTTCTCTGTACCCACTTCCAGTCCCCAGGAACCACTGGTCTTTTTTCTGTCTCTCTGCATTTGCCTTTTCTAGAAACTTCGTATAAATGGATTAATATAATACGTAGTTTTTTTGTGTCTGGCTTCATTCTCCTGGAATAATGCTTCTGCAACTTATCCATGTTGTCTTATGTATTAGTACTTCATTACTTTCTATTGATGAATATTATTTTATTGTATGGGACTTACTTCCTCTTCCCAAAACTCCAAAACAATGCTGAGAGAAATTTAAGATCATCTTTAAAAACTGCAGTGATACAGAATGTTCATAGATCAGAGCTCTGAGGACAGTTCATCCAAAGTTTATCTTTTGATTTAACACTATTTCTAGTTCTGGCCATTTGGGTAGACGTTAGGGCTGTTTCTAGTGTATGGCTGTCACAGACAACGTTGCTATAAATACACGGCTATATGCTGGCTTGTTTGCAAATATGTTCCACTTTTTAAGAAACTGTCGGCAGGTTTTCCAACGTCACTGTACCATTTTTATTCCCACCAGCAGTGTATGGAGGTTTCAGTTTTTCCATGTCACCCTCAAGACTTGATATTCTCAGTCTTCTAGATCACAGCCATTTTAGTGGGTGTTTAGTGCTTTCTTGTATTTCAGTATGACTGAATGATGTTGAACATCTTTCCATGTGGTTGTCAGGTATTTATAGGTACTTTCTTGTACAATGCTTGTTTAAATCTTTCACCCATTTTTGAATTGGGTGGTGTATCTTATTGAGTTGCAAGGTTTTCTTCTTTCATAAAAATATTCTAGATGTGGTGGTAATGGGAGGGAAGTGGGGAGGGATGGGAGGGGGGACTGGATTGGGAGTAAAAAGGAGAAAACTGTATTTGAACAATGATTAAAATAAAAAAAAATTCTAGATGTAAGTCCTTTATCAGATATGTGATTTGTAAATATTTTTACCAATCTCTGGCTTGTCTTTTTCTTCTCTTAATGGTATCTTTTGAAGAATGAGTGGTGAGGGCCTCTCCAACACTTGTTGTTTGTTGATTTGTTTGTGATGGCCACTCTGACCGGTGCTCTTTTTCTTTTCTTCTTGGTTGGCCTAAAGTCTTATCAATTTTGTTCATATTTTTTGAGAAGTAATTATTTATTTCATTGATTTGTTTTCTATTTTCTTCTTTTCTATTTTATTGATTTAATTTTAATCCTTATTATTCATTTCTTCTACCACTTGGTGCATGATTTTTTTCTGAAAATATTCTAAGTGCACTTGAATGAGTATGTTGCTCTTGTTGGTTCAGTTATTCTATATTGATCTATTTCTATCACTTGGTGAAGTTAGTTGATAATGTTCAAGGCTTCTGTATTCTTGCTGACTTTATTTCTTGGGGGCTAGAAGAGGTCTGGTTGTTTTATCAATTAACAACCTTGAGAGAAGGGCATTTGAATGTTCCACTATAATTATTGAATTTTCTGTTGTTCCTTTCATTTTTGTCAGTTTTTGCTTCATGTAATGTACTGGTTATTGATTTACTACCCCACAGTTCCAATTGAATCTTTCTGCTTGATCTGTGGAAGTTTATCTGGCCCTTTAAATATTTGTTTCTTTCCAGCTGGCACTGAAGTTTTGTGTAGTAGAGGGCCCCGGAGTAACATTGCAGAGGGAAAGAGTTTTGCTTCCACATGTGGGTGAGCCTGCTCAGCAGGCTCCTACACTGTGCCTGTTTTATCCCCAGGACCAGACTTCCCTGGCTCTTCCAGCCTCTCTGGGGCCCAGATATTTTTATACATGGTGGCCAACAGCAGCGTCCCTTAACTGTCCCCCTGGGTGGCTTTGTAGTGAAGTGCCTCTGGTGAAGTGCCTCCCTGGCACCCTAGAGGAATGACTTGTGACAAATTCCAGAAGGCAGATTTCCAGTAAGTTCTACTGGCAAGCACTAGAGTAGCTTCTCTCTCTCTG